TCTGGAGCGTGTCCTTTGTCTACCTGTTGTCTTCATCCTTTATTGTATTACTGGGCACTGTCAGTGGCCCTGTGTTGGCTGTTGCTGGCTCAGGTATTTCCCTGCCGTCCTGCTATTCCAGACTCTGCCCTCACAGGTCACACCATCACCCTAGAAGTGTGGGTTCACTCTGTGAGGATACAGGGCCTTAGCACACGTGTGCTGGAGGGTCTAGCAATGGGTGCTTGCTTTGGTTTTTGTTACTGTCCCTACATTTGTTTCACTGCTCGACTTTAGTACAGCTAGGTCAGGGTTAGAAATGGTACATCCAACGGGCAGTGGTGGTGGCGAACACCTTTAATCCCAGCACTCCAGAGGCAGAGACAGGTGGGTCTCTGGGTTCAAGGTCAGCCTGGTCTACAGAGCAAGTTCCAGGACAACCAGGGCTGTCAGAGAAACCCTGTCTTAAACTATCACACCACCACCACCTCCCAAAAAAAGAAATATAGTAGGTCCATGACTGAGTATACATGAGCTGAGTATTTGAAAGCTGGCTGTGTTAAACTGTCATAACTGCTCTATACCTCAGCGCTTGCCCAGGGGGGGCAGATGTCCACACCTGTTAAATGAAGCTAGAGTTCCTGACAGAAATCTGGTGTTCGTCTCTCCACTCTGAACCACCTCCCACGCAGGATTTGGTAAATTACAAGTCTGAAGTCCAGGTTCCTTTTGGACTGTCAACATCTTAAATATGAAGGGCACCATGCAGTTCTGAAGAGCCACCCTCCTCATAGTCTTGGGCTGTGTCTCCTGGGACCATGGTAGAGGAACAAGGTCTGTACTTTCTTCTGACTTCCAGGGATCCCAGAGTCCCAGCTGTGTCACATGTAAACATCTTGCACACCAATGGAACAGCCCAAAGGGATGCTTCTAAGCCCTGAGCAATCTGACTAGCAAAGAAATGGAAGGAAAACTCAGCCCACCCTAAGTTAATGATTGTGCTGTGGGACCTATCTGTGGAGATCTGTACCCCTCACCCTGGTACAGCCCTGGTTTGTGGATTCCAACAAGCAAGTACTTCTTGGACTACAGCTGATCCAGGGCCCTGAGATTGGCAGGCCGCCTGGGATGGTGTTCTCTGAACAACTTGATGTAAGGAGGTGAATGAATAAAGTGCCACTGGTGACTTCTCTGTGTAATGCTTTGTCCAGCTTAGTAGTTCTGACACCTAACCAGGCTCTGCCAGCCCGCAGAGCCCCTCAGATGGCCTCAGGCTCATTACCTCACAGCCCCACATTGTGCCTATACAGGGTGAGCAGGAGCTGGGCCTTTAGCTGACTCCCAGGGAAGTAGTGCCTGTGCCCACACTAAGTGTACTACTCAGGCTCTTGGACAGCCAGCCACAGGAACATGCAGAAGGCAATGGGCCTGGAAGGCAATGGGCCTGGTGGAGGCAGCTTCCTAAGTCCCACCTTGATGGTTACTCTGGGATGGCTCAGCTGGGAGGAGGGTCTGGGAAGCAGGGTAAAGGCATAGTATTCATCTCCCGGGTCTTCCCAGGACACCAGCATGTCTAGAGTAGCCTCCTATAGCCATTCTTGGCATCTTCTAGAATGCTAAAGATTACATTGGTCCCCAGGATCAAAAGGTACAAGTTGCAGGGCAAGGGCAGGAACTGCTTGAGGGTGGGGACAGCCATCCAAAGGGTATACAGCATGCCCGCTGCCTATAGTGAGAACAGAGCAAACATTCTGATGAGATGGAGTTAGGCAGTAAATGCAAGTCCAGTCCCCAAGTGACTCGAGGAAAGAGCTTTATGTACTAAGGAGTCAAGGGGTGATTGAGCCTAAGTTTCTCTTTGGAAGAACGAAAGCATCTGACAGAAATCAGTTTCTTGCCTTCTTGCGAAGATAGTTCTTTTTAAAAATGTTGTTTTGCTGCAAGTATGTATTGCACCATGTGCATGCCTACTACCCACAGACAGCAGAAGAGGTTTTCATACCCCCTGGAACTGGAATTGATAGTTGTTACCATCATGTTGGTGTTAGGAATAAAAGCCAGGTCCTCAGAGCAGCAAATACTCAACTAAATCACAGAGCCACTCTCCAGCCCAGAGAATAGTTCTTGCTGCTGGTCCTCAGACCACTGGGCACACAGCTACATGCCAGTGGATAAGCAGGTGTTCTGGGAGCCAGACTGTCCCTGGTGCTAGCCAGAGCAAGCCAGTTAACTATCCATCCATATCCAAAAGGTAGCACAGTCAGGTAGAGATTCCTCCAGAGGAGACTAGACACAGCAGAAGGAGCCTGGGTTCAACAAGGCATGGGAGACCTGTGCAAATCCAATGCCTGGTGACATAGCCACTCATACTGTTTGCTCATTGGGCAGTGGCCACCTAGTAGACTCTGGTGATGCAGCTCTAGGCCCAAACCTCTACCTCTTCTGAGGTGGCAATGGGAATATTATGAACAAGAGTGGCCTGACCTATGAACAATGTCCCTCTCAAGACCACTTCTGTCACCATGGACCAACACCTTGGTGTTCAAATCTTTCCTTGGACTTAACAGGACTTCCAGGTTGCCATAGGAAGCTATGCTCAGCATGGCACTAGAGGGCGCCTGGCACACAGATGACCCAGACAGTGTCATGCCTGTTTCTGGGGTAAGAATATATCCATCTGGTGCCAAAGCATGTGTGTGCGCGCGCGCACACACACACACACACACACCCCTCCCTCCCTGATCACTATCATCAGGTGTCTACATGGCTCAAGTCCCTGACATCAAACTGTCTGGTGCCTGTTACGAGGTTGCTATGGTGAACCAGTAAGAGCTAGACCTACATTTTCCTCTAAAACCCAGTATCTCCTTAAAGATCTTATTTCAGCTGTCTAGAACCAGGATTTCAGCACCTTGGCTATGCATGTCTCCTAGAAGGTGGATCTAGTCCAAGAAAGATGTAGAGCCAGAGAGGAAGTTCATTCAATCCTCAGGTCTCCTTCCAAGGTTAGAAAGTATGACAAGATGGATGTAGGAAGGAAACACTAAGTTCTCTCTACATTGTCCTCAAACTCATTATGTAGATTAGGCTTGCCTCAAACAGAGATCCCCTGTGCCATGTTTGGCCCAGTATAGATTGCTTAAACCAGGGGTTTGGCTACCTGGCTTCCCCCAAGAGGTTACTACGTATACTCAGAAGCACTCTCTGTCTTCATGGGATCCCTCCCAGGTCAACACAGCCAGAGAGCTAACGAGGCGAAACGTACTTCCTCCACACACCCATGATCCCCTCCTATGGACACAACCCTATTGCATTCTGTCCTTGGAGCCTCTAGACTGGTAACCCTGAGGTTCTGCCTGCCACCTTCGGCCACAGGAAGACACCCCCGAGCCCAGCTGTCCTTACCCTGGTAAGGAAAAGCAAAGGTAATTAGTCTCCTTGGAGCCTGAGACCAGCACCTTGCTCTAGGAACCAGAAGCTTCTGATTCCTTGGATGCTATTATCCCTCCTTGTCTGCCCTGCCCTGTCCCCAAAGGCAGTAAGGACAGCTGTGCAGATCCCAGAACAGAAGCTAAAGCACTCTGAAAATCAGAACCAGTTCTCACTTTATTTATTTTTTTTTTTTTTAAAGAAAGTTGGCTATGTTAAAATCACATCTGCCATTGTGGGCTGACAAACTGTGCTGGGCCCTAAGAAAAGTCACCCTGAGCCACTGTCCTGGCCCTACTGGCTAATAGGCATGGGACAGCCACCCAAGCCTAGGGCCCAGTAACAGTACAAAAAGTAACAAAACTTTATTCACCACTCTTACTCTCAAGCTTTGAAAGGTAGCAGTCTAGGCTATAAAAGTCTAGAAGCACTGCATAGAAGTGTTAAGCCTACAGCAAATACAACTTATAAAGACTCAATAAATTATAGATAGATATATATATATAAACTTGTAATATCTATTAACATCTGAACCTTCAGGCAGGGCTGGCCCCTCCCTGGGCATAGGCTTCTGCCTGGAATATACATCAATTAGAATAATCTGTATGAAAATACCGGTCACCTTAGAAAAAAATTTTTTTAATTTCCTAAAGGGCGGGCCTATATAAATCTAACCCCCATGAAAGAGGGCCAAAGGAAATAAAAACGCTCTCTGATGACACCTCTCACTCTTGAGGGCTGCTTGAGTTCCCAGGGCAGCCTCTGGCCCTGGGGGCCAGATGCATTCTCAGCAACCGCCAGAATTCGGCATAAACCTCTTCAGCTGTTAATAAGTTACAACTTAACATTTCTGCAATATCCTGGAGCTAAATACTATGAACCTGGGGTTGGGGGCTGAGGCTTTTGAGGGACGATAAATAGCTTTACAAATATACAGGTCCAGGTACAAACAAAACTGTGGTGCCAGAAAAGCCCCTTGCTTCTTGGCATTTTACCAGTGAGCCCCATGGGGTATCTTACTCTCCTCTGGGCCTCAGCTTTGCCTGCCTCCATATAGATATTCTTTTATATATATGTATATATATATATATATATATATATATCATACAGGACATCTATTTATATAAATGTACATTTGCTTCTGGAATAAACTTTTTCTGATAGAAGTTATGGCTCCCACCTTCAGGTACCCGTAATTTCGGTCTGAGGGTCAGGGTGAGAAATAGGAGGCCTGGAGGTGGTGAGCTGTGACTCCCCACCAAGCACAAGGTGCTATAAAGGAGAGAGGCTTGCCACATAGGGTGGAGCTTCCCTGCAGGCTCAGCTTTGGGTACCAAGAGGACCAAGATCCACCCTGGACAGGGAGCATAGCCCTCTCCACAACGGTCCCTGGGAGGTGGCAGCGGGGAATGAGGGAGCCAGAAGCCCAGGGTTGCACAGGGTGGGCCCTCTTACATTCTACATTTGGTGCTCCTGACCCTGGCTAGTCAGAAGACCACTGTACAGCAGTGCATGTTCCCAAGGGGCCTCTGCACCCAGGAGCCAAGGACACACACACACACACACACACACACACACACACACACACACACACACACACACACGTACATCCTGTCTACTGCTGCTCCATCACACTGGGCTGGCTGGAATCCACTGCACACCAGAAGTAGCAGGGCGGGCTAGGGTCTGTGTAAACATTGGCTGGGGCTTGGTCTGGAGGACTGTTGACCCCTCACGTCCGAGGTCCCCCATTACTGGGTGGACCTGAGGGCAGCAAGTCATGGGTGAACACAGAGTCATCTCCTGAGGAGCTGGAGCTAGGAGTATCTTGGCCACCAGGCGAGTACTGCTCAAAAGGCACAGATAGGTCCAGGTATTCCTGTTGGTGGACAAAGCTGTCAGGACTGGGCTGCGGTACCCTCCTCAATCCCATGGCTATCTGTGGTCAGACTGTGGCCCTAAGAGGCAGTCCGACCACTGGAGCTCCAAGGAAAAACACCCAGAGGGAGCAGGATCGAGTGGCACTTACATCAGTTGATGTCACAGTAAGGATGCGGTCTAAGTCCTCTACCAGCTGCTTGAAGGTGGGCCTCTGTGAAGGTACAGCATGCCAACATTCCCGCATGATCATGTACCTGTTGCAAGTATGGCTATTGAGCTCCTGGCCTGCACCCAATCCCTACCTCACACCCCAGGCCACTAATCCTCTACTCATCCCAGGGACCCTGGTAGGAATCCTGCCATTCCCAGGCACTGGGTAGAGGAATGAGCAAGGAATGATCGCTCACAGGTCATGTGTGCAGTTGGCTGGCTTGTCCATGCGGTGGCCCTCTTTCAACAGCTTGAAGAGTTCTTCCACCGGAATGCCAGGATACGGTGAACCCCCCAGGGTGAAGATCTCCCAGAGAAGGACCCCAAAGGACCAGCTGCGAGGGAGTGAGGATAAAAGGCCTGTTACTCCAGGTCCACTGCTGCTGCGGGCCTTAACCAGGACTTGCCACCCATGGACAAGGGGTTGGGGACACCAGGGTTAAGTAAGACACCAGGGCTGTAAGGGACCAGGACCCTGAAGGCTGTGAGAGGTGCAACTTGGGTCCTGTATGTCCCCAGAACTCCCTAACCCCATCCTATGTATGGACACATACACATCACTCTGGTGGGTGTAGACACGGTCAAACAGGGCCTCTGGTGCCATCCACTTCACAGGTAGCCGGCCCTGGACAGAGGGAGAGGTATTGGCTCTCATGTGTCCACTGGTGGAGCACTACACCCAAACCACCCTGGACCAGGGCTCACGTTTGTGGTCTTCTTGTAGTAGTCTAGATTGTGCACATCACGGGCCAGGCCAAAGTCTGCAATCTTCATCACATTGTCCTCAGTCACCAGCACGTTTCTGGCAGCCAAGTCTCTGTGAATGCACTGAGGAGACACCCAAGGGAGCCGGGGCTAAGCTGATGCCTCCCCCAGACCAGGCAAGTTTGACATCCACTCCTCCACCAGGAGAGACCCCCACCTGGCCTGGGACCTGTGTCTGCTTACCTTCTGGGAAGCCAGGTATTCCATGCCCCGGGCCACCTGGTAGGCACAAGACACTAGATCCTTGCAAGTAAGCTGCTCTTCTGGCAGCCTGCAGGCATCAAAGGAGTAGTCCATGCCTGGAGGCCGGCGTGCCCGCAGGAATTCTCGTAGGTTGCCCTTGGCCGCATACTCCACCAGCACATACAGGGGCCCTGGGAACACACACAGCTGAGAGGCTGTGTGACTCAGAAGCTCCCATCCACCAGTCTGCCCACCTGTTGCACCTACCACCCTGTGTGCAGGCCCCCAGCAGGTTGATGATGTTCTTGTGCTTGCCAATCATTTTCATCATCTCCATCTCAGACACCAGGTCCGACAGGTCCTTGTCAGTGGCATCATCTACACCAGGAATGGGGGTGTCAGTTGATGGCCACACAGTCCTCAAATGCCCTTCTACTTCTCTCCCTTCTTACCTTTCAGCATCTTCACGGCCACTGTGACAGGCTTGGCAGTTCGATCTTTGTCAATGCCAATAGCTTCTGCCATGACAACCTGGCCAAAGCAGCCTTCTCCAAGAGGCTTACCGAGTGTGAGCCTGGTCACAGAAGCAGTCAGTAAGTGTGTGCCCAGAACTCCCAGGCCTTACAGTCACATGCCACTGTGTCCTGGAAGCCCTATGGGCAATTGGTCATGAAGACCAAATCTCACCCCGTACGTACGTACGCTACCTGAGCATCTCACCCCACCTTCAACAGGCCCCTGCCTAGTAACCGTCTAGCCCCAAACCCCAGAACCCCCACCAAGTCCATATCGACCCTCACCACCACTGACCGGGTCCTGGATAGCTCCCACTTGGGGTCAGCAGGCAACTCAAGTTCAGAAACATTGGCCAGAACAGGACCTTCTCCAGAGGACAGCCGGGCAATGCGGACCAGGGGTGTGTTGGAGTTCATAGAGGAGTTGGACTCCAAGGATACCTGCTTGGGTCATTAGGGACAGGTTGGTACCACACAATGTGGGATGAGCATTGGAAAAGGGGTGAGGTGGCACAGCCACCAAGAACGGCAAGGTCAAATATATGTGAGGCAGGGTATGGGGCAAAAATAAGGGCCAGCTGCTCTGCCTTCTATAAAGTGGTGGCTGAAGACGACTAAAAATGTTCTGCACCAAAGGATTTGGGCTTCGTGTGAAGAACAGAGATAAAAGGAAGGCTCAGCCCACCCAACTGCAGAGAAGTGAGTCCCAGGCAGGCCCTGGGTACTACTCTACTAGGAAACCCAATGCAGGACAGGGAGCTCAAAACCTGGTATCTACTTTCTGTTACCTGTCGCTTAAGCGGGAAGCGAGAGACCTTGTGCACGGTGGGTGAGCCCAGGCCCTTCTTTGGGGGACTGCGAAGGCGACAGAGTGTCACAGCTGCCACCACCAGGATGAAGAGGAAGAATCCCACCCCATAGCTGAGGATGCCCGCGTACACACTGCCAGCCTCATCGACTTCCATCAGCTCCTCCTCAGCTGTAAAGACACAAGTTTGGGGGCCTCATCCAGCCTTTTCAGGTTTCCCACCAGCTGGACACAGACAGCGGGGGGGGGGGGGGGGGGGGAAGGACCTAGGATACTCAGATATGGGGAGTGAAAGCCCCCACCTGCCTTGGTAATATAGTAAAAAACATCTGTAAGTCAGCATGACCAGATCCAGGAGAGAAGCCCAGCAGAGCCAGAAGCACCCACACCGCCACCCAGGCACCCAGGAAATGCCAGAGCTCAGATTAGGACTGTGGGCACACAACTGGAGGATGAAGGGGGAGGCCCTTGCAGGACCAAGATGAAGCAGGTTGATGTTCCCGTACCACGCACAAGGTCGGGGTGAGTTCCACAGGATGGGCAGCACTAACCCATAAGGCGGCCCCTGCAGTCCCTGGCAGCTCTGGCATGTCCTGAGCCAGCACCCCAAGAGGACAGGTGCAGCGTGAGCAGAAGCCAGTACCTGGCAGCACCACCAGCCACGCAGAGTGATGGGAAAACCCGATAGAATTGCCTGCCAGGCAGGTGTACTCCCCCGCGTCCTCAAAGGTGACATTGTGCAAGGACAGAACCTCTAGCTCCTTGTCCGTGGTGTTAGCGCCTGCCGTCTACAAAGAGAGAACAAAGCGCGATAGGCAAGCGCCAGCACTTCCCTTTGGGTACCACAACAGTCCACATGGAGATGATCCAGCCAGGCTGCAAGGAAAACGCCGCCACCACCACAACCTCGGCCACCACCATGGCCCTGCCACAGATAGTCATGGAGGCCCAGGGCAGGGCCCTCTTCCTGCACCGAGGCACTGAGCCTGAAGCCAGTCCCTCCACCGGTGGCGAGTCCTCTGTCCCAAGGTGAGCAACAGGCAGGTGGGCAGCATGGTGCCACACAGAGGCAGCATGCAGAATTAGTGCAGAAACAGGCGAAGTACAGATGGAAAGATGGGCAGGCGAATGGATAGGAAGCCAGAAGGCATCAGAGTCAGCCAAAGATGAGTGTAAAACCAATGCTCACAAAGTCAGGGCTCAGCCTGTGGCAGGCAGGCTCTAAGGATCTTCTAAGTGTGCAAGTGGGGGGTGCAAGAGGACAGCACAAGTCTGGGGGACTGTGAAGCAGGTAGTCAGTCATTGGTAGCCAGGGGCTACCAGTATCATTGAGGCATCACAAGCAGAGTGCGAGCCACAGGCGGGGTCAAGCAGGGAAAGGGTCGTGCACGGCATGCAGGCAGGTGCATGGCTGGAGCGTTGGAGCTGGAGCTCAGCGTGCCAGGCAGGCATGGGACAGAGTCGTTACCTGCTTGAGGCCCGTGAACACGCAGCCAAAAGGCCTTCTCAGCCACGCCTATGAAATTGGTGGCTCGACAGAGGTACTCGCCCCCGTCCCGCTCCGACACATTGGCCAGGCGGAGGCGTGCGTCTGCCTCCACATTCTCACTGATCCAGGACTGCGGGGACAAGAGACTGGGCTCAGGCACACCCCGAGCCAGCTCCAAAAGGACATGAGGACAAGGCAGGGCAAGGGAGATCCCAAAGGATGGGCTGGGGGCTAGGCAGCAACACCCGGAAGGCTGCCGGGAGGAGAAGCACATCATGGCAGTGGTAGGTGTGGTTTCAGAGAGACCTTTCTCCATGTCCACCCCCACTGTCCCACCCCACCCCCCACGAACACACAACCCACAGCCTCCAAACCCTCAACCCAGGGGCTGTGGTGTCAGGACACCTAGAATGTGCTCATGAACACCCACACCCACGTCGGGAGGCACACCGGACAAGGCCCCAGCGGCCTCTCTCAACAGCGAGGGTTCCGTTCCAGCCAGTGCATAACCCCTCCCCCACCAGACCTCCTTGTCTCTGAACAGATGTTTCTCTTTGGGCTTCTAGTGTCGCAAAGTCCCGACTCGGGTGGCCCCACCCAAGGCCAGGGAACAAAGCTACAAGCAGACAGAGGCAAGACAGAGCCAATACTACACTGCAAGCAGATGACACCGGCCAATCCAGGCCAGCAGGGGAGAATCTAGCCTGTCTCTAGGATCCAGAGGGTACTAACTAACTAGGCAATCATCCTCCTGCCCGGGGACATGGTAACTGTCACTCAAGAGAAGCCTTCTGCAGGCCTAGTCCTTGGAGCAGACTGGGAATCAAGTCCCATGGCAGGGTACAAGTAACACAGAACTTGTCTGGAGCTCAGAGCAGATGAGAAGCACTGAGACTCAATGCTCCTTCTCAGAAACTTCAACACCTGGGCCAAGATCCCAACATATCCCTCAGCCAAGAGGGACTTATGGACCAGGGCCAAGGCGGCCCCAGCTGACCCATCCACCCACCCAGCAGCTGGCAGCAGAGCCTACCTTGAGTACAGTGACGTAGGGTGTGCCATCAGGGCCCACTTTGCTGCCATTCACTTCCACATGCTTCAGCCACTGGATGTGTGGCTGTGCATCGCTGTACACCTTGCAGTGGAACTCCACGTCACTGCCCAGGACGGCCGTCTGGTTGGCTGGCAGCCCAGCCTGCAGGATGGGCCGGTGTGGGGAACGCTCTACAAGAGGCAGCCAAGTCAGGGGCAGTGGGCCAAGGGGCCCAGGGATGCCCTGCCTTAGCCACCCGGCCAGGCCCTCACCCAGCACATCCAGAGTGTATGTCTGCCGGATGCTGCCAAACTTGTTCTCTACCACGCAGGTATAGTTGCCACGATCAGAGGGCACCACGCTCTCCATGACCAGACTCCACTGCTGGTGCCGAAGCTACAGGTAAAATTAGTATGTGAGCAGATACAGACTGTACCGTGCCCAGGCCCTGCCACTCCAGCCCCTTTCCCAGACCCACCTTGATGCCCCCTATGCGATGCTCCCCTCGGAATTCTTTGCCATTCTTCAGCCAGGAGATGGAGGGGGTAGGGTTGCCAGCAGCCGGGCAGCGGAAGCGTACAGTGTTTGCTGCTGGCACAGCCAGCAGTTTCTTGTCCATACGCTCTGGCCGAGTCCAGTAAGGGGCCCCTGATGGCAGAAATGCCCGTAACAACTGTAATTCAGTGCACTTTTTCCAAAACTGCCCTGCCCACCTATCCTCTAGCCTGCTTCCCCTTCTGTACTCAGAGTCCTTTGCTTTGCCTGCACAGGCTTCATGAAGCCTCGACACTATGCAACTACAGCTGCCCCAATCTCTGGCTTGGGCATGTCTTCTCATTGTCCTTTGGTACAGGCGCACAGGCGCAGGTCCCCCAGAAGGTAGAATCCAGTAGGATGCAGACCCTGGGAGACAGCTAGACCAGATCACCCCACCCACTTGCAAAACCCAAGCCAGCTTCTCTAGTGCCCAGAGCCTGGCCGACACCTTTCAGGTCTCTTCTCATCCACTCTCGTCCCTCCGGCCTCTGCGCTGGGTGAAAGATGCCACCCTGCTGGGTTTCATGAAGCAGCTGAGGGACACAGGAGGGATCCAGGACAAAATAGGGAGGCAGGGCCCTTCCACAGTGACCTCACTGTACTCTACCATAGGACCGCGTGCAGCTCCTGAAGTAGGAACCACTGCACAGGGTAGGAGAGAACTGTGCAGAAACTGGTGAGGGCCCCTCCCAGCTCTGAGATGCCCTCCCAGGCTCCTGATGGCCAGTAAGCTTGACAGAAGACTGTCACACTGGGAATCTGCAGTGACTTAATGCTGCCCACTGCTAGGCATGATCCACAAGGTGACCCTGCAGTCACCTTATAGCCTAAACCCATGTGAGGCACAAACACCAAATACAGCCTAGGAAAGCCAGGACAGCAGAAGCAAAGAGTAACTCAGGGCAAGGGTACAGGTAATGTGGCCGGAGCAGGAACTGTAGGGCAAGTGGGTTAACAATTTTTGCTCTGAGCAACCTTGTAGCCAAAGGGAAATAAGAAGCCAAGCAACTTCTCAGGACAGTAGCCTCTGTTGGTTTCACTCCTAGATTCCAAACCTATTTCTGTGTAGATTCCGCTCTAAATCTCATTCAAGCCCCTTTACCTGTTTCTCCTGGCCCCCACACTCCTGAAATTCATTCCCTTGTGTTTCTATCTATCCATTTTGTCTCCGACTCCTCTCAACACTTTGTCCACACCACCTCAGAAGTTTCCAAATGGTCCGAGCACTCAGTCCACACAGCCGAGTCTCCCCAGTCATAGCCCCCCCCCCCCCCACACACACACACACAGAGCCTCAGCATGGTGCAGCCATTCCTCTCCTGATGCCCTTAATCCCTCCTGATACTCCTCAACAACAACCTGAGCTCCATGACTAACTGTACTCAAGCCTGGGAGGCCCCTCCCCACTCAAGTCAATACCAAAATCCCTGCAGAGCAGCCTCACCTCCTCACTGCTCCTGTTCTACTGTAACAATGTCACCCTGTAGCCACCAAACTACAGGAAGAAGGCACCCAGCCCCACCCTGACCAGCTCAGTGTGCCTAGATTCTAATCTCACCTGTATCCTCAGCCATGTCCTCCCCATCTTCGTCATCTCCTGAAGATGGAGCATCTGCAATAGTTTTAAGTAGGCAGTGGTTCTGTGATACCCCAACATCCAGAGACCTGCTGTTCCCCATACCTGGGGCCCACTGTTCCCTGCCTTTGGGAACAGTGCCACTCATTCCGATAGTACACACTTGGGGGGTACCCACTCCTACCAGCTGCCAGCAACATTTTTTTTGCCAGGGATACTGCAGCCACCCTGCCCAGGACTGCCGTGACCCCCCTGGCTTTGCAACTGCTCAACACACTTGACAACTGCACCGACACACTCACCTGTCACACGCACACTGAAGTGGCACAGCACACGCTGAGAGAGCCGATGCTGGCAGCTGTAGACCCCCGCATCCTCATGCGAGGCATTCAGCACCTGGAGCCTCTGGGGACCCACCAAGACACGGCGGGAGGCCACCAGCCCTGTGCCATCCTTAGCCCAGACAGTGGGGCCTGTCGGGGCACCTCCAGGAGGATGGCAGCTTAGCTCCACGGTGTCCCCAATGCCAAAGGCCACCTGCTCCTGCTGGCTAGGCTCAGGCCCTGCGATCTCTGTGGATGAAATAAAAAGCTATGAAACAGATCCTCCACAGTAGCATGCTAAAGGCCCCACTTTACTCTGTAAACACACTAGCAAAGGCTGTGGCAGGCAAGTGAGGGGTGTGCTCCTGGGGCCTCCCAGACCATGGTGAAACCCGGAGTGGACAAACCATTTCAGTAAGAGCCCAGTGGCGTCAGTATCTCAGCTCTGTCTATGCGAGGGCTTTGGCCCTGTCCCGCCGGAGGAAGCTGTTTTCCAAAGATGATAAGGAAGAGGCATAGCAGCCCTCCCAATCCTGAAAGATCTAAAGTGTCCTGAGGGGTGGGGACAGCTCTGTGGTGCAGCACCCCCTGGAATGTCTAACACCCTGAGCTCATTCCCAGCACCAGCAAAGTATCACCAATTCTTCCTCCCACCATTTGGAAATGCACAATCAATCCTTAGCTCACGGGGAAGCACAAAAGCAGGTTAGGGACAGACTGTCCTTCACTGGCCTCTGGCTCAAAACTCAGAGAAGAAATAGGAAGCCCTTTCAGGGCCCGCTTAGCACCCAACCCTCGTCTTGGCTTCTAAAACCGTATGGGTGGAGAGCCAGAGAACAGAACACACTTTAGCAATAGGAAGGAGAAGGCTGGGTATGGTGCCTCACACATTAGGAAGGCTGAGGCACGACTGCCACAAGCTCAAGGCCAGCCTGGCTACAGTGCAAGACTGCTACAAATAAATAAATAAATATGGAAAGGGAAGATGATACAAGGTCATGCAACAACATGGGGGGACAGCCCTTCTTGAATACTCCACAAGGGCTGCTGTTCAAGTAGCCCACGTAGTTAGAAAAATAGGACAGGTGTACATTAAGGACACCAATCTGGATACTTAGCTCTCTGGTCAGTGGGATAAAGGACCCAAATGAGCTCATAGGGGTGGCTGAGGATATGAAACCCCCATTTCATAAATAAAAACCGGGTTTGGAGGGGCTGTCAGAGTGGACCAAATGGAGCCAGCCACCCACAATGAGGGCTAAGAAATGAGTAGTAACTACAGCCCCTTCACTGGGCAGACACAGATAGCCATACACCTCTCCCCTGACCAGCTCATGAGGGGGCCCAAAGACCTCACACTCAGAAACTCCCTACCAGCTGGGCTATCACCTCCAAACCTCCCTGCCAGGATCCAACAATGCCCATCACAGGGGTAGCTGGGCTCGGGGCCCAGGACAGGAGTGGGTGGTCCTGCTGAGTAGACCTCCTTCTTCAGGTCCAGCTGGACTGGCTATAATGTCACTTGTCATTCCGTCGATGCACGGCCTAGATTCGAGGCCCAGCTGTCCACTCTGGCCACACCAGTCCTTGGTCAGGCCCAATTCTGCCCTTCCAAGAGTCAGCCCACTGGCTCAAAGTCCACTAGGGTCACCCACGAAACCCATGATGTCCCATAGAATCATAGAACTTTAAGCTGTCCTGGATAGCCAAGGACTATCCATAGCCAGGGCCCTTCTATCCTGATCACCCAGTGCTGGAAGCTGCTTGAGCCCCCTACCCAGAGAAGGCCAAAAACAGGCTAGTCAATAGCCTTAGACTAGGCTTTGGCCCAAGGGCAACAGCCAGTTGATTCCGGTTTGGTCTGTACAAGGCAACAGATCACACCATTCACACAAGTATTTGCTTTAACCTAATCCAGAAATGCACTCAAGAAGGACACTGCAGCCCCCAGACCAGCCCCTTGGAGAGGCAGATGGCCGGAGGTTTGGGACGGCTCAGTCAGCTGACAGTTGACCTTTGACCTGCCCACCAATCACTGTCCTCTAGGAGCCAGAAGAAACCAGACATCTGAAATTCGGAGGCCTGGGGCAACAACATATACACCACTGTCACCACCCCAGGGTCACAAAGATTAGAGGGACCTGTGTCTTGAGCCAAGTAGGTAACAAGGGAAGGGACAGTGCAAGGCTGCTTTAGACAACACAGAATATGGTACACCCTGAGAAGCTACAGCCAACAGAGCTCCCACATCAGCCTCCAGGACCAAATGCAACACAGGCACTGGTACTTCTGGGGTGTCCATTGAGGGGACACTACATGGGCTACACGTACCTATCCCCACTGTTGTCCCCATTACCACATGGTACTGAGGTGGACCAGCGTACCATATGCTTACTGGGGCAGGCTAAGAGACACTGTGTCCCAGTCAGGCTGTGAAGGGTCTGGAGTCTCCCAGATCGACTCAGTTTCCCTCACTATGACACAATGGACAAACCCCAATTGGCAGACTTGAAGTCCAGAAAGGTAGGTTAAGTGGCTAGAGCCTGTGAAAAGGTGTGTGGGGATGGGGAAAACCCCTGCCTGGGCATCTTGAATAGAACAATGTAGTCAGACCACGGCTGACCAGCTTCTGGGATGGCTGCATCCCTTGTGCAGGGCTTGATAACCAGTTCTGGTCACTACTGTTGAGACACAGGTGAACACAACAGCGCTAGCATCAACCCGCTTTCCCAGGTTGGTCACCCTAAGGACTCCAGAGACTTGGGCTTTGGAACAAGACCAGGACCCGGATGCAGGCAACATCTGCTTTGATAGGGAACACACACAGCTGGCGTAGGAGGCACAGCCAGCTGTACCATTAAAACAACCGAAGAGAAAGGAGGGCGCCCCAAGGGACCCTGAATCCAAGGGAAGGAAGGGTCTCTTGCCTTCCTCTCCTTCCCTACTCACCACCATTCCACCAGGAGACATTCCAGTTTCCACAGTTTCATAACAAAGTCAAGAAAGAAAAAAAAGAAAGAATCCAGAGGCTGGGCGGGCTAATGAGGGTTTACTGGGGGATTATCTGGTTTAATCCCCGAAACAACCCTGCCATTACCAGTCCTCTTTGGCAGGACAGGTGAGGAAACTTGGGTTCCAGGAGGGTACCCAAGCCTAGGCAGGCCTCAACTCCAGGTGGCTTTACTCATAGCTAAGTCATTTCTCAACCTTGCCCAAGCCACCTTTCCACAAGACCTCACCTTACCCCTAACCCACCCTGTGTAACTCATTTGTCTTCTACGCACAACTGTTAAAAAGGGAGTAGGAGTTTCAGGTCCCACAAGCTCCTTGTAAACCTGAGGCTGGGGGAACAAGGTGCTCCTAGGCTCAGCATAGGATCCAAAGCTTCAGGGCCTAAGATCAGCCCAGGTTAATGAACCACCGCGAGGGCCTGCAGGGCTCAAAGTCCAACCCTGAGGTGGTGTGCAGCGTGGGGGGGGGGGGGACGGGGGACGGGGACGGACACGACCCGGACACAACGCCCAGGGACATGGAAGGCTCGACTCCTGTCACCCTTTGCTACAGGCCCGCGTGCGGGTCACCCTCGGAGCCCTTGCGGGCTACTCTCTTCACAACAGTGCACACACCAGGGGTGTCCAGAGTAGGCTGGAGCCTTAGCACCGCCCCACAGCTCTTGACCCTAGCCAGCTCCAGTTTGGTAATTTATGTTCCCGGGGAAAGCGCCAGCCGAGACCTCTGTAAACTTCACCGGGTCTTTGTATTTTTACTGCCCGGCCCATCTCGTTAAGGAACCGGATTAAGTTTATTGGCCTATCAACTCCCTACCTGTCTCACCAGCTCGAACGCAGGGACGCGGGGCGGGCGCACATCCCACTGATTCCTGGCCACCCGGCTCAACTTCGGTTCCTGCAGCAGGGTCGTGCCAGGCCGCCACAGTCACTGCCTGGAGCACCGAAAGGGTGTGCGCTCCGCCCCGCCGCCCCTTCGCTAGCTCACTGACACTCGACGCAGGGAGTAATATCTTCATCTGAATGCACATGCTAATGTGGTTCAGTCGCCGGCCATTCGGCGCCCGGGAGCCAGACCGTCCTAGCAGGCGCTAAAAGCGCGCGCTGACCTCCCGACCGCCTCTGTCACGCTGCTGAAAGACACGCACATTCAAGCTACCGGCCCACTTTCATTCATAAAAAAAAAAAGAAAGAAAGAAATGACATTGTTCCGAGAAGCTGCAGCCGCTGAGGGAGAAAGGGGCGCGGGGGCGCCGGGAGGGGCACGCCGCCATCTGCCTCGTCCCGCTGCGCTCACCGCGCTTGCACCTCCCCGAGAGGCCGCGCCGCCATCAATGCGCGGTCTGTGGCCGCCGGGGTACAAAGGAGCGGCTGTTCCGCCTCAGCTCGGGTGGGGCGAAGCTTACCGAGCGAAGGCCTCCCTCCGCGAGGCCTCCCGCCAGCCCACTGCTCTGCCTTGCCACGCTGCTGCCGCTGGGCACAACCAGGGGCCGGGCGCATCGCACCTCCCGGAGGCAGCGGGACGCTGGGCTGCCGGACCGTGGCTCCCTCCGGTATTCTCACCCTCCGGCCCCATTTGATGGTGCTCAATGTCCCATCGGACTCTGGCGGCCGATCGCGCTATGTAGGCGGCGACACGATCCTGGGACAACCGCCCCTCGCCTCCCAGAGTGCGTCTTGAAGGGCGGTCCATGGGCGCCCCTGGGAACAGACCCCCTCAGGCCGCCTACAGGGTAAGAGGGGCACCGGCGCCGAAGCTGTCACCTTGTGGTGCGCGACACTAGGCGACAGAACTGAGCTTTGGCTGGGATACTACTCCTGTCCACTCCCGAAGTCCAACCTTCACTTTGGCCAAAACTGAGCCAAGAACTGCGCCGGGAGGACGGGGAAACCAACAACTGACACTTTCCGTCCTCTCAGATCCGAGCAGCAACAATGGGAATCGGGGAAAGCCGGCTCGCGCGCCCTCCCGACTCTGCCCGGCTGGGGACCACGGCCACCACGCATCGCTCGCCGTGGAGCCTCGCACTTGGACGGTGGCTCTGAGACTCCAGACACACCGTATACTGCCGCTCCGGATCTGACAGCGATCTGCGGGGCGGGGTACAGAACCCGGGCGCACTGGCACCCATGCTGCTACTCAACCTGACGCCCCTTCCTCACCCAAGAGCCGTTCGCAGTTCCCAAAGTCTCTGGGGGCCAGGACCGGGCCCCTCGAAAGACACCTTGTCAGCCCCTACCTGCCGGTCTCCGCACGACTCGCTGCTCTGGGCCGGGTGGCTCAGAGGTAGCTGCGGCCACGACCGCAAAGCAGAACGCTAGCACGCAGGCTGGGACTACCATGGCTGGAGCTGGGACCGCGGCGTCTTCAAGCCGCGCGCGCGGGCATGCTGTACCCCCACACGCCCGGCTCCGGCGCCGGTGGGAGGGCGCCGCTCCGGAGTCTGCGGGAGGAGAGCGCTGAGTTAGTTACTTGGGAGGGCAGCGGGGGAGCGCGGCTTCGCTCCTGCGCCGGGACCCCCGGCCGCCCCGCCCGCCGCCTGCCTGGGCTCCGGGGCCGCCTGGCGCCGGCCGCCTCCTCCCAGCCGCGCGCGGTCTCTCCCTCCTCCCCTCCCTGGCCGCCGCAGAGCCCTCCCAGGACGGCGGCAGGAGCGGCAAACTTTCCAGATCGGGACGCCGGTGCCCAGCCCGGCCTCGCCGCCCGCACTGACCGCACCAGTTGCAGCCCACCTCGCGTCTTGACTGCTTCAGCGCCCGCCCGGCCCCTCCGAGCGCCAGCCGGGTCTTTCACACCAACCTGGCGGCCGCTAGAGCCCGGCTCACCACGCGCAGCTCCGGACCTCGGCTCTCAGTCCGCCCTCCCAGGATCTCTTCTTTCCCAGCGGCCGTTCGCCCTCCAGTGAGTCCCAGAGCCGGAGTGGACCTCACGGCGCCAGCTGCTCCCGCCACCCCCACCACCACAGTACACTGAACTCCGGCTGCCCGGCGCGCGGCAGCCAGTGGGGGGGAGACGGCCTGCTCCCGCCACGCCCAAAACACGCCCCTTCCCGGGCGGCCGAGGGGCGGGGAATCCTAGGGGGCGTGGTCAGGCGGGGGCGCCGGGCGGTCCCGGAGGGCGTGGGAGCCCGGCTGGGACCAAGCGGGCGAGGCCAGGATCGCACACTCAACCCCTCGAAGCAATGGTCGAGCTCACGACTGTCTGTCTGCACGCTCTTTCGTCCAGTAAGACGAAGAGGCTCAGAGCGGTGGCCTCAGTGGGGGTCCAGGTGTTAAGGCAGCTTCACAGTGAACTGTCCTCCGGAGCTGAAGCCTGTGCAAAGAGCCGTAATTCTTCGCGTGCAGAGCCTTATTGCATTCCAGGTGGACAAATGAGTGTGAAACGGCCTTACGGTGAAGGATGGGGCAGAGTTTACACGACGACAGTGGAAGGCGCAGGGATCGTGTCCTAGAAAAGGAGGGCACAGTGCTGTATTTATCGAACTAACCAACTGGTGGCCCTCATGAGCTCAGCTGCCTGGGTGTCCTGCTGCGCGCGGGGGCGGGGGCGGGGGGAGATGATGTTCACACTTCCCCAAGAAGATACACGTTTGGAAGTGAACTTAACTGCCCAAACTCAGAATAACAAAAAGCTGGGGATACCAAGTGGAAGACCCTGCCCTGTCCTAGAGCTGCCTGAACTCCAGCCTGTGGAGGTCCTCAGGCAGCTCATCCATCCTGGACACACATTCCATCTGGGGAGTGTCACACTGACAGCCGGTCCCAGGAGGATCAGCCTGCCCACCCAATCATGCTGACAAGCTGTAGGTGCTGCCTTGCAGACTCTGAAACAGCACCCACCACCACCCACCACTCTGTGACTGGTGACTTATGTATCTACCCTCACAAGACAGGGAATCGGAATTGTATCTCACAGTCAAGCTTAGCATGGTCTGAGGCCTACAGGAGCCACATAGGGAAAGAAGGTGGGGTCTTGGCTCAATGCTTCTGCTCGGTCTGGCTGTGTGTGGCTTGAAGGACTCACCTTGCTCATCAGAAAAATGGAAAGTAGAACATGAAAATGTTTCAGTGGTTCATTGATCACTCTTATCTATCCCAGATCTCTGAGCAAGGCTCTGTTCCCAAAGCCCTCATGCTACTGCTCAGTGTCCACCCCTAACCCTCTGCACCTTCTACTGTCGCTCATGTTGCTCTTCTGGCCGAGCACAACTCCCTGCAGACTGGCTAGAATCCAGGCCTGGGTTCCCATACCATCCCCAGCTAGCTGCCCACAGATCCTCCCCCATGTTGCCACCCCAGGGGGTCATAGCAGACATTCTCTCCTAATCTATTGGCAGATTAATTATCAGTAAAAGAACCAGAATGTGAACTCTGACGCCTGTTGCCACCCACCTCCTCTGGAGGATTTACCAGAACCCTCCACATCTGTATCACCTGGGAGCTGAGCATCCATCTGAACAGTAGTAATTCTTTATCTCGGGTATCCCAGGCCAGTGGTGGTTCTCTGAACCTTGTGGACCAACAGACCTTGTCTCCCAGGCTATCTTACTTTGTGGCTTCTAAGAAGTTTAGCCAATGAGCAACAAATGCAGAGCAGAGGGCTCCAGACAGGGTACTTTTCCTCTGCCCCCCCCCACATCCTATGACCAGACATTGGCCAGCTCTTCTGGACTCTCGCTCAGCTGCAGCAGTGTGGGGGCCTTGTCCCTTCTTCAAAAATTAGCTGTGGGGGGTTCACAACTTGTATTCCTGTCCTGAGCCTACTGCCACTTTAAAAACTGCTTGTCTCAAATTGACTTTCATAGTTCAGGACAACAGAAGTCTGAGGTCAAGATGAGCTGGTTGTGGGCCTCTTTACAAGAGGGTTCTTCCTGCCTGTGACAACTCTGGGGCCTCGGGCATCCTTGACTTAGGACCATATCACTCTAGTCTCTGCCTCTACCTTCACATGGCTTCTTCTGTACCTTTGCCATGGCTCCCATCTCTCATAAGGACACTTGTGGTTGGATTTTGGGCTGTCCATAAAGTGTGGGATGATCTCACCTCAAACTCCTTCCCACCATTACACAGGCCTGCCTTAGAGGGAATCACCTTCTGCCCACTACACACCTGGGGTTCCTGATCCTTTGATGTCATGCACATCCTAACATGGTCTGGGTCTTGACTCTCCAGCATGGCTGCCACTGTCTGCTGGCCCTTACACTAAAAGGGCACAGCATTTTGAGACTCCACTGGTTCTGCAGAGTTGATCCCACGAACCAGCCCCAAGTAGCTGCAACTCACTTTGCCTTACTCTTATACCAGGACATAATTCCTGGAAGGTGTGGTCTATTGTCGGTGGGGCTTTTTTGGTTTGGTTTAGTTTTTTGAGACAGAGTTTCTCTGTGTAGCTTTGGAGCTTGTCCTGAAACACATAGATATCCTGCCTTTGCCTCCCACGTGCACCACCACCACCCAGCTCAGTGTGATTTTTCTTATAAAGAGTTGGGTTTGGCAGGAGTCTTATCTGCTCTCAGAGAGCTACACATGAGGCTGAGCCCCACATTCTGTAGTCTGTGTCAGGATGGCGCCAGCCCTTGACTCTCATAATGCTCTCCCTAACTTAGCCACTATTTTATCCTGGACCCCTCAGTTGAACTCCAGGCTGTGACTAAGACTAGGCCCTGAAGAGGTGGGTCTCTTTGGCCCTTGGCAGAGTCCCAGGAAGGGGGTTGGAGCCTGGAAACAGCCAGGGCTAATGGGGAGGGGGCTCCCGATGCTAAAGACCCCTTATGTGCCTATACCTCTTTACCCACTTTCTGGGACCCCGTCAGCTTTTTAAGCCCCACATGGATGGAATCTTCAGTGAAGATGAGCTGGGACAGAGGCCAAGTCAGGCACACTAGGGACAGCTAAGGGACTCAGAGCTGGGTGGCCTCAGCTTTCTGGGGCCTATGCTGCTGAACAAGGAAAGGGACTGTGGAGGTGCACCTGCTGCATGTGCCCTGGAATAGAATCACTACAGGCTGGGAGTAGGTAGCCCGGCCTCCCCAGCCTGGCCAGGCCTAAAGCTGGGCAAATGGCAGCAGAGGAACTCTCCTGAACAGACCTGAATTCACAACTCACATCTTACCACAGGGCTCCTGGCAGCTGGTAGCTGCTATAGGCCACAATGGGCCTGGAACCTAGGCAGAGGGAGTCCCAGGATCCTGCCAAGCTTGCCTTCAGGTAGGATGCTGCCATGAGGCTTCATGTCCTTCAGGACAGGTTTTCAGAGCCCCAGAGCTACTCTGGCCCTCCTAGGAGACCCCATTCCCTCATCTGTGGTGGAAAACATCATTGCTGCATGCTAATAGGCTCGGGAGCCAGTGTAGCACCATGTATGGGGCTCTTATAGGACTGGCTGGTCTAGTTCCCCCAAAGAAAGCAGATTTGAATGGGGGTGTGGTTGTGAACGGCTATAGGTAATTTCTGCCTTTCAAATTCACTCTCAGGATTAAAATAAAAAAGTACATTTGATTTGTACATTATGACAGAAATGGAAACTTTTTTTGTTTTGTTTTTTTAAGACAAGGTTTCTCTGTGTATCCTCGGCTGTCCTGAAATTAGCTCTGTAGACCAGACTGGCCTGGAAATCACAGAGATACACCTGCCTCTGCCTCATAAATACTGGGATTAAAGGTATGCGCCACCACCACCCAGCACAGAAGTAGAATTTTAAAAAACATGAACAAGAAAGGAAAATATTCCAAAAGCCATCAGTCAATACTAGCTACTATGTAAGATCCTTAATTTTAGCTGTGAGCTTCCTGGTAAGTTGAGCCAAAAAGGGCAATAACATGAATCATGCACCATTGGGAACCTGGACATACATGCACATTGGGAACCTGACATTCCAGACCAAGCTTTCTGGCCTTTTTGCCCTTTGGTTCACTCAGACTACTAAACCTCAAGTCCTAACTCCTGGTTTGGAAAATGTGCCTGGATGAGCAAAGAGTGGAAATCAGAGCTGTGGACAGATGCAGGGCAAGGGTGAGGCTGTCTGGCATAGAAGGGCTACTCAGCAGAAAGCAGGAAGAACTGACAAGAAGCCACCACAGCGCCATCAAAGCAATGAGTTCACAGGCCAGTACTGAGCAGAAAGGGGTTAAGGCCTCGACAACTCAAGGACTGGCAGGCCAGGCCAGTAGCTGCTGAGCAGTTCAGAAATCTATTTTCCTAAGCTCTTGGCCTGAAACCTCAAGTGTATTTTCCCTAAGTTTTATTTTTTCTTTGACCCCAAACTCTGGTAAATTTAAGGGAAATTTAATTATGGTGTTTTGGGCCCATTTACACTTAAACCCTCTCAACATTTTTTCCAGGACCCC